TCCATAAACAGAAAAAGCGAGAGTCAAACAGCCAAATGTTATCAGCAACTGATAATGCTACAATATGAATTAACAAATGTGACTTGGGCTATACTGAGATAATGGCTCTTCACTTTCTAGAGTCAATATTGACAACAACCAGTCGTTTGGCCGAGGAGCAGGTTTTATTGCCATTTTTCCAAACTAATCTGGCTGTGAGGCTAGGAAACCAAGTGGTATGATGACAATATTAACATACACAGACAACATTTAATCAAAAAGAAAAATATTGAATATTTTCATCAACAAGTTGACTGAAATGTTTGCCGACCTGACGACTCCAGCTTGCGGGTCAAAAGCTTGTCTTTCAAACTGATCGTCTAATTGCAGGCATTTTTCCCATACTGAGCTTATTCCAAGCACCCCTACTCCTTCTCCAGGCAATTTGAAACATAGAAACTATAACAAGATACGAGTAGAACATTTAAATATGATTAGGAAAACTGACAAGATTGATTGATGAGAATTATCTCCCTTTTTGTTGACGTTTTTTATTATTTTTAATAAAGATTTGACTGGAAATCTCCAATTATATTGATATCGGCCACATTGACAACTGACAGAAGTTTTGTCATAAAAAATCTCCCGCGATCAATGGTGTAGACTACTAGGTCAGCGAATTAATATCGTCAAATTTAATTTTCTTAAACTTCAGTTTCCGACTGAATTCCTAATTAATTCAATATTTCATTCCATTAATCAAAATTTCTCCTAAAATTATGGAGAATTTGGAAGCATGTATAACAATTAAATTTGAATCTATATTTCTTACGAAATTTATTAATTAGTATGGATCACAAATAATATTTTATTTCATTTTTTACCAATTATTTTTCTTTGTCAATGGCCCAAGGTTTGATTAATTACAAGTGTTTTGATTTTGCTTGTAATGTTCTTAGCATAAAATGGGTGTCATGTAAATCCATTCATAGCATATCAACAATGCTCTTGCCCTGAATAAATCATATTTTGGTCAAAGGAGTAATAAAACTTGTCGGACTGTGATAGACAGAAGCTGAACAATGTCATATAAATTGTTGTGCCAAAAGATCTGTAATTTATGAGTCTGAAGACAAATACTGTCCTTAGATCAAAGAACTTGGCACAATTTACAAGTCAATGGCGGCAATCCAGATATTATAAGTGCTATGATTATGAACATAAACTGCCAAATTAGGCAAGTTTTTGGTTCCAAGGTGTGATTTTAATATGCATATTAGTACCTTTAAAGTTGCCCCCATAGTGTGTGTATTGATAGAGGCCTTCGTCCACGTTTTTTCCATTAATGTATTTATTTCACAGTGTGCTGATCACATTAGTTTGGCTCTTTCAACCATACCATTCTTGCTATTTTTTCTGATAAATCATTTTTTGTAGCAAAGATAATTATTGAATTTATTATTTGGTTCATTAATTTACAATATTCTGACCGGCATGGAGTTTTTTCTTCTTCCAATGAGTTCATCTAAGGTTAACGTAAATGTCTTTGAGATAGAAAAATCTAAGAGTATCAGAGATTTTTCCAATTTAACGCCACGAATTTCAAAATGTAAGGTGGAGGAAAAAAGTCAATACACAAAATACAATTTTCTGGTATTTGAAAATATTATTGTTTCATTCAGCCTTGGCCAAATTTGACAGATGCATTTAATTTTTTGAGAATTTGTTTGTCAATGGAATTTTTCTAATGATGTTATCTCTTTCAGATATGATTTAAATAAACTTTGTTTGAAATAGTTATCTTTGAAATCAAATTTAAATTTGGGTTAATTTGAGCCATAATGACTTCACCAGGTTTCTCAAAATTGAAATATAGTATTTTATGACCTAAGTAAATTAGGCAGAGGTCGTGGAGGTTAAAGTATATCAATCTTTTTTAATTAGAATTGATGTCATCTCAATGGTTGAAATTAGCTTCCAACATTGGGTAAATAATCTTAATTACCATCTGAGTTGAAATAAGTTGCTGCCTATCCAGCTGGTGTGCATATGTTTCTATCCTCTAAAACTTACGTTAACGATAGGGAAGGGAGATAAATCCTATCTTTAAATTGACTTTATAAAATATCAAGTTGGTATTTTTTTACGATAAAATCTTGCCAATTATAAATATTCTTTCAGTTTTAACTGCTTTTTATATTTTTTTCCATCATTATCAATCTTATCTAAAACTAAGTTAATTTCTCTATTAAATGAAAGTGCATTTTTTTTTTCTCTGAGAGAATCAAACTTTAAATTGGAACTTGAAAAATTCTTTAAAACCCTTAACTTTTTAAATTTTTTAACATTTTCCTAAAATTCTGCTCAGATCCATATTGGATAGTTCTATAAATTTGTTAATTTGGATTTCACTTGAGTACAATCGGAATGTAACAGTGGCTTAGAAAGTAAAGTCACAGGGGGTCATGAGGAGGCATTTTACTATAAAATTGAATTAATTGTCCAACTTATTGGAATTGTAACAGTTCTCAAGATGATAAGCTGAATAGCTAGAGACTGCGAGAGAGTCATTGTTTATTATGGCTTCCATCAGCTTCACGACTCAGTCTAATAAAATCACCAACTTCCAATACAACTTGAGTTAGAGAACTCATAATCAAAATTCCATTAATTGGTCTCAAAGAAGAAATGCACCTGAGTAGAATCGTAAAAATGTACTTGAGGATTCCGCTGATTTCCTTCACAGAGTCCCTGAAGGTTTTCACAAGTACCTCAAATTAATGATCTTTAGAAAATCATTCCAATTACATTATCTTCTACCAATTCTTTTCGTCTTTCATGCTCTAAGTTGGAATGATTTGATACCCACAACACACTCGCTGGAACATTTATACAGAATTTAAAACCATAACTGGTAAAAGTGTTCTCCAATGCTTCCACAGAACATAAATGCAATGCTAGTAAATATACACTGTAAAATTGTTCACAAAATCTAATTTTTACACTTAAGATTTTCATCTAGTGCATTCACACATTTAGAATGTTACAAAAGAGAAATTTCGCCCAGTTTGTTTGTGTTAATAGAATACTATAGACACACCAAGTAGTAAATTTACACCAAATTAAAAAGTAAATGAGCTTAGTGATAAGGATTAGAATAGAATCAAAAATAAAGAGTATATTGTTCAGGCTATAAATTCTATCTTTTCCATCTATTTTTTCTTTTCACAAGAACAAAAGAGGCATAGCGCCAGTTTCACCAAATTCATTTCATGCTCTGTAAGCAGACATGAGTATTAGCCAATCAGGATGAACTTAACAAAACTAAATTGGTAGGAACAAAAAGATGATGTTAAAACTGGGGAGCAAGTTGTTTGAAATGAATGGCAGATTATGAAAGCTGTCTTGACAAGTTCTAGGTAGGGAGTCGCAATGAAGACAATGGCTTGTTGCCAGTGGCAAGATTCTCACCAACTACCTTTACCATATTTTCATCCCATTTAGTTCATCGCTGTTCTTTTTTCTCCAATCTAAAGATGTTTTTCTAACAATCAGAGGGCTAATTTTAAGCAAAATATTGTCAATTAAGATTTTCTCTTTTCAATGGAAATTTCAAGTTTCTTTAAGAAAGAAAATTTATCCAAATTTCTGGTTGCAAGAATCTCTAAAATTTGGTTAATTCATCTGATATTTAAGTTTTTTTTTCGGAATTTTCCAGACATCTGATCTGTTAATAATTCCACAACTAAACAAAAAGATATCAATGAAAACACTCGACTTATTTCTACCAGTCAAATCAAAGAAGATTCTACTATCTTTAGTATATTTGTAGAAGTTAAGAAAGTATTCTAAGCTATCAAAGGCACCATCATTTCTCAAAGACCTTGTGGCAGAAAAAAACATGCCAAAATATTTTCCCTTCCATTTGACATTTAGTAAGGAATGGTTGGCGGTTTATTTAGAAACTTGTTTGATAGTTTAGAGAAAGAAGAAAGAGAGCAACTATTGTTCTTATCAAAACACCCTTCATTTCAGATTACCTAGCCACCATCTTGGATTTCTATCTATTCTCTTAAACGCCAACCCGGTCTGAATGAAAATAAATACCTCGGTATCTATTCAACGATAATAAACAATCCCTGGTTTCTTATAACTTAGGGTTGAATATTACCTAGTTCATATGATTTAAATATCTATCATAATATTATAATGCCTGTTGAATCTATATCAAATATAACTTAGAGTATTTTGACAGATACCTCCCCCATTCCAAACAATACTTTTTAACCATTATGTGCTCTGTTTTTTGCCTCTATTAAATCATAACAAAGATATTTTTAATACCTAACCCCGGCTAAATTCATGTATGTTTTGGTTCGTGTATAATATGTAAATCATATATGCAAGATGATACACTTCTATTTACAACTTTATATATATATACCGATTTTTTTTTACAAAACATTTTTGTACTATTAAAGGAAATAGCGTTGTTTCTATGTAAATTTTATCATTTTCATTTTCTGGACGTTAAATTTCTGGTATTTATTTTCAAAATATTGTATAATTTCCATTATTTTTCCACTGCAATGCATTAAATTCATATGACCTTACTCAACCAATAAAATCAAATACAAGGTCAAAATTCTCATTAAGTGATTTAAAAAAAGGAAAATGCGATTGTGAGTCATTCTGTATCCACATTTGTCTCTCTTGAAATCATTAACACATGATGTGTCATCCAAATGTATCCAAAATTGTGTGTATATGTATCATTTAATTAGTATATCTTGTAATTTGATATTTAGTAAGTGAGATGTTGATTGATTTGTATTTGTAATTGGATATATTAATAAATTGATTTGTAGTTAAGGATAAATATTTATTGTAATTGTACAGTTGGCTCTAAATCCTAGCTTTAGGATATAATCTGAATATGTTCTATGAGGGTACATCGAACAGTTTATGTAAAATTTGTGGTAAAAAGGTATGGTTTGAATCAAATAATTGTGAAGACTTACCAGTTATTGACCTGAAGAATTGTTAAACCTGTATCTTGAGCTAATTGCTTTTTCTGTTCTTCTGATGGGTAAGGGTGCTGAAAAATACAGAAAAATCTGTTAATCCAAATCCATGATAGCATTAAATAAACATTAAGAATCAAACCATTGTCAAAAATATGTCTCGAATTCTCAATAACTAAAAAATATAATTTAACCTCAAAAGCACTGACCAAGGAAGAAAATATTGAACACCAAAAATATTCAACACCACAAATATTGAACACCGAAATTCAAAAGTCAACCATCTGTCACAAAGTAACAAAAATTGTGGATATTGATTTGAGACGGCAATGTTAGTAACATATTTATTGTACTGTTTACTTTCTATTAACATAACAATGGACAAATTTCAATAATACTTTAACGGGCTTTTATCTTTTAAACCCAAGTCATGAAGTGAAAATAAGCATGTGTAGTTTTTGACAGGTATCCATTTGAAATATAATTTATAGACATGAGTTTTTCAAGACAAATATTGACAATTTTGCCAATTTTTCTTGTGTTCTGTGACGACTCTCCGATTTTCTAATTTGTTCCCATTGACAAGCGTTGTTTACATGTTTACATTTCTGACTCGGAAACACTGGTAACTATGAAGCAAGTTGTACCAAAGTTGGAAGACAGAAAATGAAGTCAGCCTTAAAGAAGTCTCAGATGACAAAAGGGCAATATAAAATCAAATCTTCTGATTCCGTTCCAAAATTAAATGTAATGTCTTCTACAAATATTATCTTAAAAAACCATTGTATAAGAAATGTGTTTTTGTCATGATTAGAAATTCGCTGGTTTATTTCCGATATTGAAGAAGGGAATAACAACCACGTAAACTGACACCTTGTGGCAATTTCCAAGAGACTATGATATGACGGGAATTTATGAATAAATAATCTAATCTTGGTGTGATATGGGATTGCGACAATCATATGCCCCAGATTAAAGTTATATACATGGTAATAACAAGTCTCCAAAGGCAATATGGTCGCTTTTTGTCTATACAATATAATGTAATAACATTGTTTGACCAGACTGGGAGAAAAAACTCACAGTCATTAGATATTCCAATATTAAGAATTTCTTTTTAATAATCTTTGGAAAAAGTACATTTATTTCAATTAGAAATTTCATATCATAAATTCCATAGAATTTTAGGAGTGCTTTAAATTTCGTTACATTAAATGTTGCAAGTGGAAGTCCCAAAAGGAAATCTGAATATTCATTAGTTTAAAGTGTAGAATATCAGCTGCTTTGAATACAAAGCTTGAACCGAAAGCACTGAATAACACTAAAGGCATCAGGCTCTGGTCGAGAAAATTGACAAAAAGAGCGCAAGTTCAGAGCCAATCAAATTTGACATATCAATAAGTAGAAAATGATCTAAATGCACCCATATATCGTGTTAGAATCATAAATAACACATTCACACCAATTCGTGACAAGTTATGGAACTTTGAACAACTTTTATGATAGGGTTAAAGTAGTGTTTCCTTACATCAAAGGCACGACAGGCAACTAACGTTACTATTAGACTGAATTAATAAATGTCAGAGTTGTTGATGAAGCCACAACAATATCTAAATATGCTTATTAACAAGTTTGTGATTGAATGTAAAGGTCAGGGATAGTTTAGAAGCAATTCACATCTGATTTGATTGCCTAATTCTCTCGGCAAACGCAGGAAATACGAATACACTGAAATTTGAATTAAGGGTGCATCCAAATGTCACTCTCATTTTCCAAAATCCACCAGTTTTTAATGAGTTTGAAAACTTCAGACTCAATTGATACCCTTTTGATACTGTCTAAATGAAATTTAGAGTTTTTCTCGTTCAATTTTAACTCCTCTAAACCCGCGGAGATCTGCCGAAGAAAAAAGCAGCAGATAATTTAAAATCGTTCAATCATACTTTTAATCTCCTTCAAATAAACTTTTCTCCAAACAATTTAAACTTTTTCTCTACAGTTCCTACCAATTCTTCATCGAACTCTATCTACTCTTCTAAGTTGGTAATTTAAAATCTCTTTAAATCTTAAATTTAATTCGAACAGGGTCAGTCGTAATACTTGAAAGTCAACTGTTCATTATGTGTTTTAGCCAAAGAAAATGGAGGGAAAATGTGGATTAGTTTTTTTTCTCATTTAAAAGAGGTCAGAAAGGTGCCATTTCCTGAGCGCAGTGTCATTAATCTCATTTTGTTAATGACCTTAATTTAGACAGACAGGCTCACCCGTCTTTAACTGAGAAAATATCAACTCCCCAAAGACTCTTGACTTATTTTTTGCCAAGATTGTCGGCCACCTGTATCTTACTAATGATAGATGAGGGTTAATAAAACAGGTACAAGAGGCCATTTTGGTTTGTGGATAGAAATGCCTCAAGTTTGTCATCAAGGAAGAAGACAAATTTTATGCCGTCTGCAACTTTGAGAATGCAACTTCCTACATCTGCTTCAGCAAGCTAAAACTTAGTGCCTATCTACACCCAAGTTTTAGATGCGATATATTTCAACTTGTCTAAATTGATCATAAATTTGATACAAGTTCAGAACTAGTTACTATGTATTATTATATGTTTATTAGAGCTGTCAAAAACACTTCAACCAGGTTTGTAACAGAATAAATAGAGCATATTTTCACAGTTTATCAAACTAAACTCTCAACTCCCAGATCATCTAAACTTCTAGTCCAAATCACCATGAAAATAAACAAAGTATGTGTAGAATGGAAGCTAACAGTGTACCATTTATTTCCCCAATGGTCTACAGTTTATTTTACACCAGGTGGCAGCGATGTCTGCAGACGATGGTGAAGAAGTCTGTATACGCTAAGCTGATATGTTTAACGATGTCGTTACAATTTTTATTTATAATTTTGATTCATTTTAGTATATAATAAACAGTATTTTTCATAAATATACTTTTCACTGTCACCATTACTGCTATCATACGTGTCAAAATAATTTCATGTGCATAATATCAGAAACATGTACCCTTAAAGTACTTTATTTTGGGTATTAGTAAAAGATGTCCATTGTGGAATTTTTACCATTGAGGGTCAGAAATAATTGGATAAACCTTGTCTTTAATTTTAAAGAGTGATTTTTTTCTATCAATTCACATGAAAAAATGTAAAGGTTTGCCATCACATAGCTAAGTTTGTTTATGGCAGCAAATACAACCGATTCCTGGTTCTAAAACTAATATACATGCTGTTTCTGACAAGTTCTTAAAAACATATTAAACAGTATTTCAGCTGTATAGACTATAGAAATGGTGAAAACTATTTATCCACACACAATAAAACTGCACTTTCATAAATTCAACGCATTCTTTTTTTCATCAAAATGCAGCTTGATTGCAAAAACATCAGCCGAAATTTTAAATGAAAAAATTCTTGTCAAATTTCAGACTTGTGGAATTCTAAGCCGGCAACAAAAGAAACAGAAGAAATCTTTTCAACAGAATGATGGTCCATTTGTAACACAATCATTTTAAAAATGTACTTATAACCAGAAAGCTGTAATTCCAGAGAGCGTTTAAAGCCATTTGCCAAAATAAAAAATCATAAAAAAAAAATTGACAAGTTTTGTTAAAAGTGTTGGAGGGAAAAAAAATTTGTCTGCACAATAAGTGTATAATTGTTGAGAATGAATTCTCAGGAATATAAAGAAAGTTGTCAAATCATTAAAATCATTCCCCATGGTACAAGCTTTTTACCAATAATTTCTTCTCTATTGCTTCCACAAACCTAAAAATCCATATTGATGCAGAGAAAATCTGAATCTTTCTATGCCCTACTTTCCAATTACTAGCAGAAAAAAAAGAGAAATTCTTCTCTGTGTGTTGTAAACCAAATCTCTGAAGACGGTACCAAAAGTGTAACACTAAACGCTTTCAATCTTCTTAAACGAACGCTAAGATTTCATAATATTATTACTTTAATGGAACAATAGTTGAAAAAACATCTTTTATTTGAGGAAAAACTAGATGATATTTGGCAATTATTCCTTTATTTTCATTCCACAATTTCTATGGTAAACCAAAACTAATGTTGAGTTTATTATTCCAAGACTATTTTGTGATTCTTTGCCCAGTATATATCTTACAATCTAGTAATCCACTCTCAAGAAAGCAGACGACAAGAAAATCATTGAGGAATGACGAAGAAATTTGTCTCCCATATTTAGTTGGTTTTTGTTTTTTTTTTGGGGAGAAGCAAGGAGTTAAGAACAATGGCACATAGTCTTGTTCAGAATGTTGCAATGTTGATAATGCTCTCAAAGTTCAATATGCTTTAAGGAAATAAGCCAATCTCATTTTTTTCTGTTGACAAATTTATTGGGTCTATCAAAATCTTACAAGGTCCTTGCTTTGGGTGGAGCAAAAATTTTTAACGCCATAAAAATCTCCAGAAGTACATGTCACGTTTTCAGAATAAAATCGTCATGAATTGGTCCAATAAGGAAGGTCTCCTGGAGGGCATAACTCAAGCATTTCCATATTGAAAATTTAAATTTTAAATATGGGAGACAAACTCTTCAATTGGTGAGGAGAAAAGGTTACAAAATGGGTGTTGGCAAGTTAAAATACCTTTTTTATCTTCAAAATAAAAGATGACATAAGTCAGTTTTTTATCAGCTTTGAGTCAGTGCTACTCATATTTAACTCCATCTATTATTTTAACAGATAATTTGAAATTTTCTTATCACTTTTACGAGAAGTTTTTCTTAAACAGTCAAAATACAAGTTACATTAAATTAATTAAAGTGTATTTCCGTTCAAATACTGAAATCTTTCATGAAGTTCCTGCCCTCTAAAAATTTCGCCATTACTGATAAATAGTATTATAGAAAACAATAGAAAGTTATATAGGACTGTAATAATTTGATATGGTCAATCTTGGTCAATCTTATCTCTATACCTCTCCCAATTTACCCTGACCCCTCTCTCAACTTCTGCAGATGGCCATTCACCCTACCAGACACAAGTTCAACATAAATTTATCACTGTCTAAAGGCTCTATTCATTTTCTAAATATT